TGACCATGGAAGTGATTGGAACACTTGATTACAATAATTAGGATCGGTGAGGAAATACTTTTGGCAATATAGTGTAAATACTGAAAAACTGTCGATCTAACAAAGTCTTCCAATCTTAGAGCTAATTTAAAATTCTCTTGGATCTATGAGACTGAAATACTAATAAAGAGTAGATTCTGTCTGATTATTCTTGCTTTGAGAAATTTCTACTCAAAAACAAAAGCAATAATCTTCCAGTGCAGTAAGATAATTACACTTGATTGGGCTTTTTGTTTTAAGACTATATACCACGATTTTAAGAAGTCTTAGATTAGATATATTCAAAAAACATCTAGGGTATGTGTGTTTGTTGATCTCAAAACAAGATCAAAAAGACTTTTTTAGATACATATGAGATTGAAAAACTTTTTTTAAATACCAGATGGGGGTTAAACTGCAAAAAATAAACAAGAAAATAAAAAACATCTTGAAATAAACTTATTTGAAAAAGCGATGGGAGTAGATATTTAAAAGCACGTCAACTGAATAAAGCTTTGATCTTAGAATAAGAAAAAGTTTTCATTATCTTATGTAAATTGCAGGCGACAAAGTTGTCTTATTTGCCATGAGAAAAGTATTAATTCCCTTGTCAGATAGTTTTACCTACTCAAGAATGTTTACTTTAGTTTTATGCTGTTTTTTATGGAAGCAAATCGTTACCATTTTTCAAATGAAAAAGCATTTCCAGAAATACTTTTTCATTTTAAGAATGTGGCTGCATTGTTTGACTCATAAATTAAATTAATAATCAATAATCCTGTTTGCATTTTCATTTTCTTCTTCAACACCGCTCATCCTTTTACTTAATTAAAATGAAAAAGAAAAAGACATTTGAGATTTATTTTTCAAAATGCACCCCAGCAAATACATACCAAAATTCAATTTGAAATGTAAAATTTGAAAATGAAAAAGCATTTCCAGAAATGCTTTTTAATTTTAAGAATGAGGCTGCATTATTTGAATCATAATTTAAATTAGTAATCAATCCTCCTATTTGCATTTTCATTTTCTTCTTTAACACTGCACATTTTATGCCATAATTAAAGAGAAAACACAGCGGACATTGCTTTTTCGTTTCTGGACATGCTTTTTCATTTTCAAATTTTACATTTCAAATTGAATCTCACTTTCAGCATATAAAACATGCATGTTTTAAATTGGCTTTTAACTCTAAAGGAAATTGACCTCCATTCTGAGGGTGTGTTGTTTCACTGGAAAAAAATCTATATCTAGATAAGTAATTTTTTTCTTAAAATAAGTGAATTTGTTCTTGGATTGAGGAGTTAAAATAGACACTTTGCCAATGGAACAAGACAATTTACATTTAAAATAAGAAAACACAATTGCATTGTCTTATTTCAAGCCTGTTATCTAATTATCTTATCTTAGAGTTAAAATACTCATTCCATTGGCAAACTATCTCATTTTCCTACTCAAATTAAGGGTAAATACACTTAATTTAAGAACTTTTTACTTATTTCCAGTGTTGCATGGCTGTGTGTATGTGAACTGATTACCTGTTCTGGTTGTACTCCTCCTCCGACCGATTGACTGCTGGATTTAGATTTATCCTTTTTGTTTCTCCCGACCAGAGTGCAGCCTCATCTGAAGAAGTGCTTCGAAGGCATTGCAAGTGTGGTGTTCACTGACACACTGGGTATCAGCCATATGAAGAGCAGTGAAGGTGAAACAGTGCAGCTCCTGAACATAATCTCCACCTCCAAAACCAGGGGTCAGGTGGAGAAATGGCTTCTTCAACTGGAGAATAGCATGGCTGTGTCCTTAAAAAAGGTGCTGCGTGAAACTTGTTTTCTACTGCCATCAATGGTCTTCCATTATTCTTAGAGTATTATGTAGAACATTTCTTTTAAAATCTTTGTGGACTTTACTTCTTAATTAGAGCCTTAAAGTTAAAATCTTCATTGTGAGGCCTTAAAAAGGCTAAGTCAGAAAATAAATCTGCTGCAATGCTCCATTGCAGGTAATCAAAGATGCAATCAAGGCCTACCCAGATGAAGAGAGGAGGAACTGGGTCCGCGCCTGGCCAGGCCAGACTGTGCTGTGTGTCTCACAGGTCTACTGGACAAAGGATATCCATGAGGCTCTTGGTTCAGGACCAAAGGTGTTCTGTTCTTTTTTGTTCTTTAACTGTCAAGACTTGCAGTTTATCAGCCTTACCTGTTTACACCATCGTCAAGCAGATCTACAGCTATAAATGTATTATATTATGTACCGATTATTTAATCTCAAGGCACTACATGACAACTAAGCTGAATTATATTTCTGAAATATAAACAATCAAACACAGTGTTGCCAGGTGAGAAATATAGGATTATCTTACTAGAGACATGAAATTATCATATTTTGGGGGAAATTATTGTACACTTGCCTTAGCCAAAATATTAGGTCTATTGATGCGTTATGGTCACTCTCATAGGCACTCACGGCTTGGTTGTGTCAGGATTGAGTGGATTCACCAGAAGCCCCACAGTTGCTTTAGGGTTATGTCTCAATAAACAATCCAGAATGTCTCTGGAAAGTCTTCCCCTCTCTGGAAAACTCTTTCTCCTCACCCACCTCGGGCAGTCTCACACCTTTTCCCTCTCCCTCGAGCTCAGGTCCTCTACCAGAGGCGTATGAGCTTGAGGGTTCTGCACATTATCTTTGCAGTTCCTAGAACTGCACTTTTCTGGACCAAGGTGTCTGTATTTCCAGGTATCTGTTGTAGACCACTCCTCAAGTTTGGGGGTCACTGCCCCGAGGGCCAAAATGACCACGGGTATCACTGATGCCTTGATCTTCCAGGTTTTCTCCAGTTCTTCTCTGAGCCCCTGGTATTTCTCTAGTTTCTCATGTTCCTTTTTCCCGATGTTGCAGTCACTTGGTATTGCTGTGTCAACCACAATGGCTTTCCTTTGCTTTTTGGCCACCACTAAAATGTCCAGATGGTTTTCCATTACCCTTTGTTTCCTCTGGACCTCGAAGTCCTGCAGGATCTTGGCTTGGTCATTCTCTACCATCTTAGGAGGTGTTTCCCACTTTGACCTTTGGGGTTTCCAGCCCATAGGCTACTCTACATAAATGTTCCTGTATACTATTCCAACCACTTGGTTATGGTGCTCAAAAGTAAGCTTTCACTGCCAGCATCTTATGCCCTGCATTTATGTGCTGGATTGTCTCAGGGGCCTCTTTGCACAGTCTGCACCATATATATATATATATATATATATATAGACCATTCTCAAGTTATTTGCCCAGGCTGTTGATATTGTTTGGCTAATGATTCTAGTATTGGTAACAGTAGTTGCCATGGTCACCAGCTGAAGTCTGTTTTTATCCTAGTCTGGATCTTTGTCATGCAGGATAAATGAGATGTTGAGCACAGACTAAAATCATGTTTTTTTTTACTCTAGAAGTTTAGATAAAGATGGAAGAGATTTCTTAAATCAAACTTTGTCTCCTGAGACGAAATGACTTCTGTTCAATATTTTCATGCTGTTCTCTGTATTAGGCCCTGGATGCCTACCTGGCACAGAACAACAGACAGATAGATGACATTGTGGCTCTGGTTCGTGGAAAGCTGTCCAAACAAAACCGGGTGACTCTTGGAGCTCTTGTGGTGCTGGACGTCCATGCCCGTGACGTTTTGGCCACATTGGTGCAAAAAGGAATCAGTGACGAAAATGACTTTGAGTGGCTGAGCCAGCTGCGCTACTACTGGGAGGTATGATACATGGAAGTCAGCTACTGAGGTTTTTGGATCAGTGTGTTTTTTATTTCAGGGTTTATGCTCTGTGCAGGATGATAATTTGCAGACAAAGATGATCAATGCTGGTTTACCTTATGGCTATGAATACCTGGGCAACACTCCAAGGCTGGTTATTACTCCCCTCACTGACCGCTGTTACCGGTAAAACCACTTCTTGAAAAATGTTTGACTGTTCTTTGCTGTGTTTAGCAAGATAACGTACTGTCCATTAAAAGCATTTCATGCCAGAATATTGGAATAAACACCAGCATCAGTTTTAATCATTTCAGTTCACTACTCTTGTATGCCTCTTTTTTTCAGTACTTTGTTTGGTGCCCTTCATCTCCATTTGGGAGGGGCCCCTGAGGGCCCAGCAGGCACAGGAAAAACGGAGACCACCAAAGACTTGGCCAAAGCAGTGGCTAAGCAGTGTGTGGTTTTTAACTGCTCCGATGGGCTGGACTACATAGCATTGGGCAAATTCTTTAAAGTGAGTACATTCTGTTCTTATATGGAATTTAATAAAGCCTCAGTGTCACAAGGAGAAGGGTTAAAACAGGAGCAAAATGTAGACAGGAATTCAGAACTGCTGAATGAATAATAAAGAATAAAAAGCAATCTTATTTGAAGAGCATCAAAAGGAGAACAGGGGACGGTGAAATGCTAATGCCATAAAGTTCACAGAACTCATGAATGGACTAAGAATCTATTCTATCAATGTTTGAAGTAAATGGGGAGTGGTGGCCTAGGGATTAGAGCATAAAGCTTGGAATCCTAAAGTTATGAGTTCGAGCCCCACTCCCACAGACTGCCACTCTGGGCAAGACCCTTAACCCCACACTGCTCCCTGGGCGCCACATAATGGCAGCCAACTGCTCCCCAAGGGGGATGGGTTAAATGCAGAGAGTTCATTTCATTGCTCTGTACTTGTGACAGTGTATTGACAATTAACAAAGCTGGAAAAAGGTGGCAAGTTAAAAGAAACCACAAAACCTTAAACCGTATTGCAATCTTGACACTGAAGAACATTTAAAACCAAAAATCTGACATGTTTTACTTCTGACAGAGTGTTAAAGGGGATGTGCACATGTTGCTGAATTTCTCGTTGGATATTAACTGAACAGACAGCTTTAACTAATAGCATCCTGCCAATGTAATTGTTACATGTTACTGTTAATTAAAGACGCTTATTATTTATTGAACAGTATGTAATAATTTCATATTTAAAGTACTTTCAGAGGTTTGTATTCTGAATGTGACCACACTTTCCTTTAAGAACTATATATAAACATGACTCACACTCCTTTTGTGCTGCACTGTTTAATTCTAAAGTTTTCCGATAAAATACCTCATCTGTTGATTCGTCCTACCTTAAAGCGCTGCTCAGAGGTGCTGGTCTCAGCCCCCATAAGTTAAATAAATAATGAAAAAAGATGGCTTTAGAGAAATGCAGACATTTTCTTTTTATGCTGGACTAAATCTTAATAAAGTGTATGTGTGTTAACTCAGGGCCTCTTGTCCTGTGGAGCTTGGGCCTGCTTTGACGAGTTTAACCGCATCGACCTGGAGGTGCTGTCCGTGGTCGCCCAGCAGATTCTCACCATTCAGAGAGGTTTGTTCTCAACATTTTGCTTTGCTTTCCTTCTCAAGCTGAGGGAAACTGGCAGTGGACCAAAACAACAAGTTTTGGCAAAGCTTCACTCATAAAAAAAGTGGGTTTTAATCTCCAAAGAAGGGCAACTGTAGGCAAAAGCATTTTGTGTAGTCTGGCCAAGAAAACTTCCTACAAAGCTTTGTTTCCAGCCGCCCAGCAGAGAGCTGAATGTGCTTTGGGTTATTAATGATTTCCTCGCAACATCTAAAAGGTGCATTAAATATGCCTCAGCCAAAGCTTAAAACTGCTGCTGCTTTTTAGAAATTCATGAATGTTTTTTCCAGTTAGAATTAGAATTCCTTAGGGGTTTGCTCTTTGTAAAAGTCTTAAATTATTACTTTTTTCATTTTGGATTAAATCTAGATTTTAAAGAGCCAAACTTGTAACCTCCTAAAGTGAGTTAAAGAACATTTTTACATGTATTTTGTAAGAATAAAAACATTCAACAAAGATTTTTGTAAGATTTTTTTAATAATTAAACATACCATACTCATTACTTTATTGATTTCAGTATCTCAGTGTAACAATTAAGGCTCATTATATAAGTTAGTAACATGTGGGAAATGCAACATCTAAATTTAAAATATATAATTTAAAATATGATCAATTTTAATGAACAAATGTAAGGTTAAAGGAAGTTTGTTTTTAGAATTTCAACAAAAAAGCCTTAGTGGAAATCATCTGCCATTATAGTGATTATGACTGTAAAACAGAATCTTAATTATTGTTCGGTGAAGGTTCAGTGTCACTGGGTTAAATGCAGTCCAGGGATAAAAATCTTGTCTCTTTATATTCATTGTTTTTAGTTTGCTGATGTCCTGAAATGTTTCAAATCATTAAATAAAGATAAAATATTTTTCAAATGATGATTGGAGCTTTTGCTGCATTTATCCAAGATAGCACACTTTGATAAAGATGGGAACAGGCCTTCACCTAAGAGCACATCTGCTCCAGCAATAATAGAAAACAAATTTGTTATTTTTTTATTCTCTCCAAGAGAGATTCACAGAGCCTCAATATGAAAATCAGGGTTCAGTTTTAGGCCAAACTGTGTTGATTAAAAACTGGATATACAGCTTTTAATGGTTTTTAAATATTACGACATGCATTTTATAACAAACCAAACTGAGCTTTATGGAACTTTAGAAGTGTCAAAAAAGTTGAAAAAAACAATTCACTGGACTTTGTTTCCTAGTTTGAAGATGTTTCGCTTCCCATCCAGGAAGCTTTTTTAATTAGAAATGTCAGAAGTAGCAT